GGAACCCATAAATCCCAAATCCCAGCCTGGCTTGAAGAATCCCAAAATAATTCCCATTTTTTTTGCTCCCTCAAATCCAGGAACTTTCCTTCCAACCCCCTTCCCTGCCACGTCTCCTCCCTGCCCTGGTGCCCTTGCAGGGACTTTTCAAGGCCCAATTAGCACTTTATTTTAATATTAATAATTAATTACCTAATTATCCGTAATCTCCTGCGGCTCCCTGAGCGCTCCGGGCTTTCCGTTGGAATTATGGGGGATTTTTATCAGGTTTCCTTTGGGTTTTTTGTGGATTTCTGGATTTTTGTGGATTTTTTTGGTAATTTCTGGTTTCTCCTCTCTCCCAGGATCCATTACAACGTCTTCTACTGCTTGTACCTCATGGAAAACTCCTCTGGAACCGTTGGGAATGTGGAAGAGGAGACGCTGGCGTCGCGCTGCAGGCAGGACTTGTGGTCCAGGTGAGGCTTTTCCAGGTGATCCAAGGGGTGCCCCGGGGTCCTGAGGGAAAGCTGAGCGCTCCAGGGAATGTTGGGGACGGCGCAGCTCCTTATCCTGCTCCTTGCCACCAGAATTCCCAGAGGAGAACCAGAATCTGGGGCCTTAAATCTGGAAAAATGGAATTGCCGGGCACTGACCAAGTTTAAATTCACTGGTGGGTCTGTCATGGAATCATGGAATGGTTTGGAAGGGACCTTAAGGATAAACTAATTCCAAACCCCTGCTATAGGTAGAGACACCTCCCACTATCCCAGGTTGCTCCATCCAGGCCTTGGACACTTCCAGGGATCCAGGGGCAGCCACAGCTTCTCTGGGAAATCCATTCCAACCCTTCCCCACCCTCCCAGCCAGGAATTCCTTCCCAATATCCCATCTCTCCCTGCCCTCTGGCACTGGGAAGCCATTCCCTGTGTCCTGTCCCTCTGTTCCTTGTCCCCAGTCCCTCTCCAGCTCTCCTGGAGCCCCTTTAGGCCCTGGAAGGGACTCCCAGGTCTTCCTGGAGCCTTCCCTTCTCCAGGACGAACATTCCCAGCTCTCCCAGCCTGGCTCCAGAGCAGAGGGGCTCCAGAATCATGGAATCCCAGGATTGTCTGGGTGGGAAGGGACCTTAAAAACCTCCAGTGCCACCCCTGACATGGGCAGGGACACCTCCCACTATCCCAGGTTGCTCCAACCTGGCCTTGGACACTTCCAGGGATCCAGGGGCAGCCACAGCTTCTCTGGGAAATTCATTCCAGCCACTCCCCACCCTCCCAGACAGGAATTCCTTCCCAATATTCCATCTAGCCCTTCCCTCTGGCACTGGGAAGCCATTCCCTGTGTCCTGTCCCTCCAGGCCTTGTCCCCAGTCCCTCTCCAGCTCTCCTGGAGCCCCTTTAGGCCCTGGAAGGGACTCTCAGCTCTCCCTGGAGCCTTCTCTTCTCCAGGTGAACATTCCCAGCTCTCCCAGCCTGGCTCCACCCCATGGATCAGTGGAACACAGTTCTGTTTGTTCAGGGGATCCAAATCACCCCAAAACACCTCCCAAATCACCCCTTTCCCTATGGATAAGGATCTCTGGAAGGAGGGAAGTCCCTGCTGGAATTTTAAGACACGAAGTTCAGGCAGCCCAAGCAGGGGGTTGGGTTGTTGCTGATGCTCCCACAGCCCAAAAAAATGTGGATTTTCCCTTTTGAACTCCGGGAAAGAAACAAGGGACCGGGATATTGATTCCACTCCTGTTTTTCAGATCTTGCCAGAGAAGTGCTAATACTAACATTTATTTATTTGCTTGGATATGATTTATATTTTTATTGTTTCTTTTTGTTATTATTTTTGATATTTATTTTATTATATTTTTATATTTATTTTATTCTATTATATTTTTATTATATTACATTATATTATATTATGTATATTATATTTTAATCTATTATCTTTATAGTACATTACATTGTATTATGTATATTATATTTTATTCTATTATATTTATATTGTATTACATTATATTATATTATGTATATTATATGTTAATATATTTATAGTATATTACATATATTATTTAAATTATATTATATATTATATTTTATAATTTATATTTATTTTATATATTAATAAATATTTATTTTATGTATAGATACATTTATATCTCTTTTAATTTTAGAGATGATATAATTTATAATTATACATAATTTATGTATCTATACATAGATATATAGATTAAAATTTATCCATCTATATGTTAAATATTAATATTTTTTGCTACTTGCTGCCTAGAAAAGAAGGACAACAAGGAGTGAAACCCTTCCCTGGCCTGTGGAGATCCAGGCTTGGTTCCCTTTCCACTTCATTTCCCCTGGATTGACTCATTTATTCCTTATCCTTTCCTACGGAATGGGAATGCTGTGACTCCATCCATGGCCGAGATAAAGCTGGTGGTTTTTAATAAGCTTAAGGAGCCAGGCTGCCAAATTAATTTTAATTAATTTATTTTAATTTTAATTAATTAGTTTAATTTGGGAAGATCTTCTTCCATGTGACCTTTTGGATTCTTCAAGCCAGGCTGGGATTTGGGATTTTCAACTTCCAAATTTTTCTGGATTCTTCAATAAGAGTTTTACTCCTTATTTTTGCTCCAATATTCTCTTATTCCCTGCTTTTTCCCCAAAACCCAGGTTGCTCCAGTGCCAAATTCCCACTCCTGGAATGGGATAAATAACCCAATTTCCTCATTAATGGATTTGTGGGGGAGGATTTATTTTTTTTAATTCCTTTTCCGTTGGTTTATTGTTGTTTTTTCCCGATTTTTTTCCCACAGTTGTGGTGAGGTCAAACTGACCCACGAGCAGCAGAGGATTTTGAATCACAGGATTGAGCCCGGGCAGATAGTGAAAATTATGGCGTTTGCAGGTAAGATCCCAAAAATTCTGTGGGAAAAATGAACGGGAGAACCTCGGTCTGGCCCTTCCCTCCCAGCCCAGGGACTGCGGAATTCCAGGGGGATCAACTTGCTCCTCTGGGATAACAAAGGGAAGGGAAAAGCCCCCAAAAATGGGAACAAAAACAGGGGAGAGAAGAGTGGGAATATGTGGGAGGAGGGACCCCATGGAAAAGAGGGATCTGTGCTGGAGCAGTTCCTGTGGGACAGACCTCGGGGAAAACAGGGATCTGTGCTGGAGCAGTTCCTGAAGGAGTGACCCCATGGAAAACAGGGATCTGTGCTGGAGCAGTTCCTGAAGGACTGACCCCATGGAAAACAGGGATCCATGCTGGAATAACCTGTTCCTGAAGGACTGACCC